ATATGAATATATACATGTATATGCATGTATGTATGTATGTATGTATGTATGTATGTATGCATGCATGTATGTATACTTTAGATAGATGCATATACACCTCAGATATAAAAATATATACCTCAGATATATATGAATATATTCATTTCATATAGATGCCTATACACCCCAAATAGACTAAGTATATACCCTAGCTAGTTGCACATACACTCCAGATAGATGCATATACACCTCAGATTGATACATTTATATATTTTATTTTAGAGATATATATGCATAAATACTGCAGGTAGATAGGTGCCTATACACCGCAGCTATTTATATATATTTTTCAAAGAGTTGTATTAATACTGTAGATAGATGCATGTACACCCCAATATTATCTCTGTTAGTTTTTTATCTGTCTTCTCTTTTTCATTGAATTTAAATAATTTATATTATTATTATTATTATTATTATTATTATTATTATTATTTATATTTATATATATATATATATATTTTTTTTGGTTATGTTTGTACATGTTGATTTTCTGTTTTAACATTAATTAATTTTTTCGTTCTGTTCCCCGATATCTTCTGTTAATTAATTTAATTAAATTATATAAATTGAATTATTAATTTAATCTTTAAATAGATTTCAGAAGAAAGTATCTGTACCTCTTCAGCTATTTGTCTTGATGCATTTCTATTAGTTAGTTGCATGAGTAAATATAATATAATTAAATTGTTTTAACTCTTTTTTGATCTGCAAACAGATTTTAAAAGAAACTCTCTCTATCGATGATACACGCGAACCGACACGAAGTGAGAGACAGCGCATGGAGAATATGAACGGCGAAGAAAAAAGAAAATTCTGGGCAGCTAGAGTCCGCAGAAGGTATCATGCTGCTGCTGCTGCTGCTGCTGTTGCTGATGCTGCTGCTGCTGATGCTGCTGCTGCTGCTGCTGATGCTGCTGCTGCTGGTGTTGCTGCTGATGCTGATGCTGGTGTTGCTGCTGCTGCTGTTGCTGCTGATGCTGATGCTGGCGTTGCTGCTGATGCTGGTGTTGTTGTTGCTGATGCTGCTGCTGCTTTTGCTGTTGTTGGTGCTGCTGCTGTTGCTGCTGCTGGTGTTGCTGTTGCTGCTGCCACTGCTCCTGCTGCTTAAACTCAGGGGTATCTGCATACATGCAACTGCCTGCATGCAGTTGGATGGATAGCGTATATATATAATCATATATATATATATCTATATATAATGCATATTATATGTATATACTTTATATATGTATATACATTATGTGTGTATATAAGTGTAAATATATATATATATATATATATGTATATATTTATGTATATATATATGCATTTTTAATAAATATTATATATATACACATAAATATATATATAAATATAAATGTATCTACACACATAAATATATATAAATACATATAAACATCTATATATAAATATATATATATAAATATATATTTATTTATTTATATGTTCGCAGGTTGCAGCAGAATTTGCGCAATGTGAGTCGAATGGCGAAGTCAATTTGTCCGCAGCCGCTGCACTACAACATCGTAGTAAACCACTCAAATCACCCTTGGCGTATAGCTGAGCAGCAGCAGCAAGAAGCAGCAGCAGCAGCAGCAGCAGCAGCAGCAGCAGCAGCAGGAGAGGGAGGAGAGGGTGGTGCAGCAAAAGGAAAAGGAGGGAAGGGTAAACACAGCAGCAGCAGCAGCAGCAGCAGCAACAGCAGCAACAAGAAACCGCATGCAGATAAAACCTCAAAAAAGAATAAACCTTTACCTCAAAAGAAAGCAGATATCATCAAACAAAAAAATGTCGCAGCAAAACAACAAAAAACTAACGACGTAGATGCTGAGAGAGCACAAAACCTTGAGAATCTGGTTTGTAACACTCATTATTTATTTATTTATTTATTTATTTATTTATTTATTTATTTGTTTGTTTGTTTGTCTTTGTTCATTTTATCTATTTTTTTGTTTGTCTGCTTCTTTATGTATTCATTTACTTATTTATTGTCTTTTATTTATTTATTATTTGCTTCTCTGTTTATATGCATATATATATATATATATTTATTTATTTATATTTATATTTATATATCATCTATTTATTTATCTAATTTATTTTATTTATTTATTTATACAATGCCGGCGTGTGATGTGTTCTTTGTTTCACCTCCCCGTATTATTAATTTAATAAAATTAGTCGATTGATTAATTAAATTAATTAAATTAAATTAATTAATTAATTAAATTAATAAATTAATAAAATGAATATAAATTTGTTTTGTGTTTGTTTTGAATTTGCGTTTAGCTGTTGGCGTTGTGCGCGGAGAAGAGCGGCAGCAGCAGCAGCAGCAGCAGCAGCAGCAGCAGCAGCAGTAATAATAATAAGGTTCGATTAGAATCTTGTTTTGTTTTCCGAGGGCATACATATTTTCTTTCTCTGTCAGCATTAAAAGAAATAATAATTGAAGCACTAGTAGGCGTTAGTAGACGCATGGATTTGCTATTAGGCTTACCTGCAGTTGTCAGTACACTCAAAACTAAACAAAGACAGAAAGACTTCTCTATGACTGTTCTTCTACTTGTTCATTCGGCATTCAAAGAATTCAATAAAGATAAATGCTGCACCAAGTAAATCATCAACAACTTCTGCTTCCTGCTGATGCTGCTTGTGCTTGTGCTGCTCTTGCTTGTGCTGCTGCTGTTATTGCTGCTGCTGTTATTGCTGCTGCTGTTATTGCTGCTGCTGTTATTGCTGCTGATACTGCTAGTTCTGCTGCTGCTCTTGCTACTGCTGTTGCTGCTGCTAGTCCTGCAGCTGCTCTTACTGCTACTGCTGCTATTACTACAATATACATATTATATATAATATATATAATGTATAATGATTTATTTGTTTATTTATTTGTTTATTTATTTGTTTGTTTGTTTATTTATTTGTTTGTCAGGGAGAGTTTCATAGAAGTCCGGCGATTGCTATGTTTGATATTTCGCCTGAACGTCGAAATTAGCCGATTGTTTTTAGATTATTTATCGGGGACTGATGTCGAGTTAATTCAAAGAAGTTTATTGTCTTTAGGCTTCACTTCATCTGCTGCTCTGCTGTTTAATCAGTGGGTCAAGGTGCAGCAGCAGCTGCAGCAGCAAACTCTCGAAGACGCAGATGATATTCATCCAAATAAACATTCAGCAGACAAACATAAAAAAACGCAGGTAATATACACACACAACAACTATCAAATACCTAGCTAGCTAGCTAGCTAGCTAGCCAGTTAGCTAGCTAGCTAGCTAGCTAGCTAACTAGATAGATAGATAGATAGATAGCTACCTGGCTAGCTAGCTAGCTATAGCTGCACGTGTCTACCTAGCTAGGCGTAGCTACTACATGCTGATGTGTAGCTAGCTGGGTATCGATACGCCTAGCTAGCTGTATAGCTGTACGTCTTTTAGCTAGCTATATCTGTAGCTAGCTAGGTAGCTAGCTAGATAGCTAGCTAGCTGTATGGGTTGCTTTCAAGGTTCTCTCTGTGAGCTACCATATCGCTGTCTCCTCGCTTTCTCTAGTTCTTATTTATTTGTTTATTTGTTTATTTGTTTATTTGTTTATTTGTTTATTTGTTTATATATTTATTTTTGTTTATTTTTGTTTATTTGTGTTTATTTTATTTAGAAGGGGAAGACAAACATTTCAGAGAATCTGATGAAGCACAAAGTAGAGAGCGCCAGCGAATATGAATTTGCATTCAAACCAGGACAGGTCAGCAGCAACAACAACAGCAGCAACAACAACAGCAACGGCAGCAGCAGCAGCAGCAACCGTAGCAGCAGCAGCAGCAGCAACAGCAGCAGCAGCACCAATTTTGCTTTATTTTTTGTGCTTTTTTTTTCCTTCGCATTTCATTTAGATAAAATTAACGAGATAAAAATACTCTAATAGAATAAATTAATTTTATTTAGTTTATTTAATTTGTTTTTCAGGAAGCTGTGTTACAATTGCATTACATGGGCAGCGACTTTGAACGCTCAACCCGACCTCCTTCTGTCTCAGCCGATAATCGCGTTTTATTTGCACCCGACCTTTGGCAGTCTCGTTTGTTTGATGCTGTTGATGCGTAAGAGGTTAATTCATTTAATTAATTTAATTTATTTAATTAATTTAATTAGTTTAATTAATTTAATTAGTTTAATTTATTTAATTTATTTAATTAATTTAATTAATTAATTTGAGGAAATTCTATATCTTTTATGCTAATTAACTGTCTATTTCGGTTCTAATTCATTCGCACTTGCTTAGTATTACTTTTTATCTATTATTATTATTATTATTATTAGTTTTTATAAACTTAATTAATCAATTGATGCTTATTAACATTAATTAATTTAATTAATCAATTAATTAGTTAGTTAAATAATTAAATAATTAATTAAATTAAATAATTAATTAATTAATTAATTAATTAATTAAATTAAATAATTAATTAATTAATTAATTTATTTATTTATTTATTTACAGGTACGCGTCTGTGTTTGTATCGGCGCCCACTGCAAGCGGGAAGACGTACGTTTGTTTTTATGCGATGGAGTTGGTCTTGAGAGATTCCGACGAAGGCTGCGTTGTTTATGTCTGTCCTAATAAAGCTCTAGCGCAGCAGGTTAGACGTAGACTTATGCTGCTGCTGCTGCTGATTCTGCTGATGATGCTGATGCTGCTGTTGATGCTGATGCTGTTGATGCTGCTGCTGCTGTTGATGCTGTTGATACTGATGCTGCTGATGCTGCTGATGCTGATGCTGGTGGTGGTGGTGGTGGTGGTGCTGCTGCTGCTGCTGATGCTGCTGCTCTGTTGCTGCTGCTCTCTAAAACATAAAACTCTTTCACATATTTCTGCTGAATGCGGGTGCGTCGTCGTCTCCTGTTGTTTTCTGTTTGTTTTGTTCATTTTGCTTATTTATTTTATTTATATTATTTATTTTTACATTATATTATTTATTTAATTTATTTTATTTAATTTGTTTTACTTATTTTTCAGGTGTACGCTGAGATCTACGGTCGCTTCAGCACAAAAACATATCCAGTAAATTGCAAGAAGATATTGTCAGCCCACGTACTGCAGGGTGTATGCACACCTAAAGCACTTGATGCGCAGGTCTGTTGCTGCTCCTGCTGCTGTTGCTGCTGTTGCCGCTGTTGCTGCTGTTGCTGTTGCTGTTGCTGCTGCTGGTGTTGCTGTTGCTCCTGTTGTGCTTGTTGCTTTTGTTTTTTTTGTGATGCTCCTGTTGTTGTTTTGCTGCTGCTGTTCTTGCATTGCTGCTGCTGCTGCTGCTTCTGCTTCTGCTGCTGCTGTGTTCCTGCTGCTGCTTCTGTTGTGCTGGTGCTGTTTGTTAGCTCCTGCTATCGTTATGCTTTTGTTTTTGCTCCTGCTGCTGCTGCTGCTGCTGCTGCTGCTGCTGCAGGATAGCTATAGTTTTTTTCGAGTGTATGTGTGTGTGTGATGCATGCATTTAGGTTTTCGTCACGGTGCCGTACTTCTTAGAGTTATTACTTTTATCTGGTGAAGAAAAACATCGCGAGTTTTGCTCCAATATAAAATATGTTGTCTTAGATGAAGTGCATTGCATTGGCGATGTTGAAGAAGGCCCGAGAATAGAAAGAATATTTCAACTGCTTCCTTGTCCTTTCCTTGCTATGTCTGCAACAGTATGTCTTTAGATTAATTAATTAATTAATTAATTAATTATTATATTAATTAATTAGTTTATTAATTATTTTAGTAATTTATTTATTTATTTCTTCATTTGGTTATTTATGTTTATTAGCAAATCATTTGATTAACTATTT